TTATATTTGTATTAATTTTTAAAGTAACAGTCTTATTTCTGAAATAGGATTTTCAGTACCAAAATGAAAACTCTGTATCAGCGTACTTTGCCTTTTTTGTTACTTTTTGAATGCCTAGCAGTATAATAAAATACACTTAGATTATCTGTGCCATGTGGTTTGTGGAATGAGTCCCAGTTTAAGAATGTAAATTGATCCAGATTTGCAAACAGATATGCAAATATGAATAATCAAATACCATTTATTCCTCTCCCCCTCAGTGCTTTCTCGGTACCATTTATTCTTCTGCCCCTCAGTGCTGGCAACTGTTTGCTTTGGCTCGCTGTTCTCAGCAAGACTCGAACTCTGCCGTCAGGCACTGAGACTGATAGTGCAGCAGAGTAACGTGCATGTTTTTTTTAGGGCTGGAGCAAGTTAGTTCCAGCATGATAAATGGAAATCTTTTCTCACTTTTCTCACGATTGCTGTGAACTTTACTATAAACTATAATTCATTAGGCACCAAAAACTTTTCTGGTTATACAAACTGATTTGAAAAAAAATAATCCTGTGATTTATCTGTTGTGGGTACATAAACTTGCATTTGACATGTGTTGTTAATCTAATGGTCAATTTTGTGAATGTTGTTAGAAACCATTAATTAATTTAGGGCAGTTTTTACTAATAAAATTTCCAAGATATTTTCCTCAGTTAAAAAGATTCTTCAAAATTAATCTGCTGTGTAGTGAAGAACGTACAGGTGACAATTTTAATAAACTCAAATACCTGGTTTTAGAGAGAACTTTGTTTAACTGTTGTGTACTCCATGGAGCAGTGGTGTGCATTTGAAATAAAAAAAAAAAAAAAAAAAAAAGTGAAGTCAAACTAGAGTCAGAAATTTACACCAATGGTTCGATTTTAGTTGGTCATGTGATATAAAAATGTCAGTTTAGCAATGGAATGGGAAATTGAGTTTGTCGTATTTCTATTTTTATGACTGGAAGCCCTTTTAGCAATATAGACACCTTGAATGACCAAAGTAAGTAGTCCAACTGGACTTTTAAAATTCAAATATTTTTATTAGGAGAAATCATTTTAGCTTCACAGGTTCTAAGAGGCCTGTCTTGTGCAGGCTTGTCAGTGAATAGTGCCAAAGCATAGTTTGAAGACAAATGGGGACTCTCTAGCTCTAGAGTACACTAAGTGTTAATACATTTTTCTGAATAATTTGTTTGTCGAGATTCTGCTTCCATTGGAACTGTGACAGCTAATATTGATTGACTTGGTTCAATCAAATGTGGGAGGACACTGACACAGTTTTTCAGCTGACTAGAAGTGATATTTATTTAAAAAAAGATAATATAGAAATTATTTTTAATCTTTATTTCATAGTGAGGCTTCTATTATTATCTAAGAACTTGATCCTGCAAAGAACTCCCTGCAGATGGACTCCTGCACCCATTTGGATCCCAGTTGACTTCAGTGGTTGTCTGTGTTGGAACATGGGCTGCCTGCACAGTTCTCCAAGAGGGATCAAGGCCTAAGCATACAATAATACAAGTTCTATTACAGGTGGGGGTGGAAGCACTCCCAATAATGCTGCCTGATGGTTCCCTTCACCCTGTTTTCAGTCATTTTTAACTTTGCCAAACTTTAACCATTTGGGTTGATATTTCAGCTAAAATGGTTCAGTCATTTCTGAGAATGAAGCTAGGGAAAAACATGTTTTGTCCATACTAAAAAATTCCATTGACTTTCTTTGAGAAGCTCTTGCACCCTTATGCTTTGGAGCAGTGACTTGAATTTTGGCCGAGAGGCAGCCTTTGTGGCAGGGATATATGCCTCTACCCCGATATAACGCTGTCCTCGGGAGCCAAAAAATCTTTCCGTGTTATAGATGAAACCGCGTTATATCGAACTTGCTTTGATCCGCCCCCCCGGAGCACTGCTTTACCGCGTTATCTCTGAATTCGTGTTATATCGGGTCGCGTTATATCAGGGTAGAGGTGTATATGCCTTTTGCCTTCCGCGTGAAAATCTCTCAAAATTTGGCCAAGTGATAAGTCTTTGAAACATTTCAGTTCACACATGCTCAGTTTTGACTTGCTAGTGCTTTGCAGCTACATTCTCTGAAGATCATGTATTCCTTGGACATGCGCCAGCCTAGGGCTGACTTTTACTGCAGTGGCAGCTGTGGCTGGGCATGAGAACTGAGAGCAGGGTGCCTCTCGCCTCTACTCATGCCCCTGCCCCCGGCAGTGTGGAGGGAAAAGCTGCCTCGTTCAAATGCAGAAGGGACAAGAAGTGGAAAGGAGTGGGGTGGGAAGTGATTGGGGAGAGGGGGCAGTGCACTGCCAGGGCAAGGGGATTGGGACTGAGAGCTGGTGGGGTGGAGGGAAAGACTCGGAGCAAGAGAGGGAAACGGTTGGATGAGAACTGGGAACCCCTGGGGGTGAGGAAAGGAGTTGGAGGGGAGGGGATACAGGAGTCTGAATGCTGGAAAGGAGAGAACTGGGACTGGTTGTGCAGAGAGACTGAAAAAGGATCCTGGGGTGAGGGATGCTGATGTTGGACAAAGGTCCTGGGGAGGGAGATGGGCAGCCAGTGGGGCTGAGGAATGTGGGCAGGAGTAACTGGAGGCCGGGGTGGACAGAGATCGGATGAGGCGCAGGAGAGGGGAAACTGGGACTGGCTGGCCAAGCAGACTGGAAACAAGGAGTCGGAGGGTTTGGGAGGGAGTGGGCATGGGTGGTCAAGGAGCCTGGGACTAGGATGAGAAGTCTGAGATGTGAGGAGTGGGACTGACTAGGTGAGGAGGGTAGAACTGGGACAGGGAACTAAAGGTGGGGGAGAGACAGGACAGGGGCAGATTGGAGGGGATGGAGCAGAAAGGGTCACGCTTTGGAGGAAGTGGGCAGAAGAGTCTGTGCCCACTAGAGCACACTCCCCTCCAGAGCCTGGCATGGGAACCCAAGATGCCTGAGTGTCCTCATTCCTCTGCTGTTAGGAAATAGCTGTGAGACCCACTGACAAAGTGGCCCATCCCCCTCTAGAGCTGGCTCACATAGAGGATGACATAAGAACATAAGAACGGCCATACTGGGTCAGACCAAAGGTCCATCTAGCCCAGTGTCCTGTCTTCCGACAGTGGCCAATGCCAGGTGCCCCAGAGGGAATGAACAGACCAGGTAATCCTCAAGTGATCCATCCCCTGTCGCTCATTCCCAGCTTCTGGCAAACAGGGGCTAGGGACACCATCCCTGCCCATCCTGGCTAATAGCCATTGATGGACCTATCTTCCATGAATTTTTCTAGTTCTTTTTTGAACCCTGTTATAGTCTTGGCCTTCACAACATCCTCTGGCAGGGAGTTCCACAGGCTGACTCTGCGTTGTGTGAAGAAATACTTCCTTTTGTTTGTTTTAAACCTGCTGCCTATTGATTTCATTTTGGTGACCCCTAGTTCTTGTGTTATGAGAACCATGCCAGCAGATCTTGGGTGTAAAAAGGTTGGAGACCACTGCTCTACAGTTTCTTCCACACTATCCCTTGTCATAGAATCATAGGACTGGAAGGGACCTCAAGAGGTCATCTAGTCCAGTCCCCTGCACTCATGGCAGGACTAAGTATTATGTAGACCATCCCTGACAGGTGCATCGAAAACCCAGAAATAATCCTATGGCCATCACTTCTCAATTCTTGATGTCTGGTGTGTACCCTGCAAGAAACTGTCCATCTGTTATGGCTAGGATGAAAGTCCATTAGATAGTTAATATTTAATTGTAAAAGAGAGCACCTTTCTAATGAGACAGAAACATCAATGTAGGCACCTAATAAACTCACATAACTGTGTGACCCTACTACTGTTACCCTCGTCACCCTTCACTTTCCACCTTCTCTTTTGTTTGTTACTCACTTCTTGTCTTTTTTTGAGTTTGGAAATGCTTTGTCCGGGCAGGGACTGTCTTTCTGTACATTTGTTCAGCACCTAGCGTGGTATAGGCCTGCTCCTGAGTGGGGCCCTTGGGTGCTGTCACAATACCAAAAAAAAAAATTTAGGTAAGAATTTCTAATTCTTGTGTTCTGTTTGGTACTGCTCTCCA